GTATGGGGGAACACTCTTTTCATGGGATGTAAGCCTCTGTTTGGATATTGAACAGACAGGATGACAAGTGTTCATGACAAGATAAACTTATCTGCTCCTCAATCCCTTTTTTCTCCCCCAAAGAATCCCAAACTACAGCTTGGGTGGCGTACAGTATCTTAGATTTCACCACTTGTCTTCTGCACTTCTAAAAATAGTTTCTTGCCATCTCAATTACGTGTTCCATTGTTCCCCGACATTAGTGCAGGCATACGATTTTTATGCTGTAACAAGAATTTCGTAACTGTCACCGGGTAGTAAAACTTTCCCAGTTCTCATCCGGAGAAAGTTATAGTGGAATTATATATCAAATCGTTGCCTATATCATCTCGCACTCATAAATATAAAATTCATCCATCGGAGACAATACTCTCAAGGCTGTGTGCTGGAAAGGGGGCTTTAAATCTCAACCTTTAGTGTGGAAATGCAGATATTAAAAAGGAGTGGTTCCCGACGATGTTTAGGATTTTGTTGGGTACATCCGGCAGATGCAATGGTGGATGCTCAGACTCATCAGACTTAGAAGGTCACTTCATCATTTTTAGCTTCAAAGTTTTCAAGGTTCTTAAGGAAGAACTCCAGGATGGTAAAATATTTGGATTTGGATGAGGAGAATGTATTGCTGTGCTTTCAACATGCTTCTGCCTGTTGCTTGCTGTTCCACCACTGGTTGGTGGTCAGTCCCTATAGACATCTATTGGACTAAGGATTAATGCAGGCCATAGATGGGGAGAAAACCGGCCGATTTTTCTTTAAAAAAACGAAAAATCGGTCGTTCATGCGGCCGACGTTACCAGGAACGGTAAAAAAAATCGGCCGATTTTCATCCCATCTACAGCCGGCAAAAAGTGTCCCTGCAGAGAGCTCTGCTATTTCTTTGACAGTTCCTTGACATTTATAGCGGTTGCAACAATGTATCTATTTGTATCCATTTTGGATACAGATGTTTTTTCTTCGGAAACAAATAGATACATTGTTGCAACCGCTATAAATGTCAAGGAACTGTCAAAGAAATAGCGGAGCTCTCTGCAGGGACACTTTTTGCCGGACTGGAATTCTTCTTCTTCATCATCCTCTTCTTCTTCTTCCTCTTCTTCTTCTTCTTCATCCTCTTCTTCTTCTTCATCCTCTTCTTCATCTTCTTCATCCTCTTCTTCATCTTTCTCTTCTGCATCCTCTCTTCTTCTTCTTCTTCTTCATCCTCTTCTTCTTCTTCATCCTCTTCTTCTTCTTCATCCTCTTCTTCATCTCTCTTCTTCTTCATCTTCTTCTTCATCTTCTTCATCCTCTTCTTCATCTTCCTCTTCTTCTTCATCCTCTTCTTCATCTTCTTCATCCTCTTCTTCATCTTCCTCTTCTTCTTCATCCTCTTCTTCATCTCCTTCTTCTTCTTCCTCTTCTTCTTCTTCATCCTCTTCTTCTTCTTCATCCTCTTCTTCCTCCTCCTCTTCTTCTTCCTCTCTTCTTCTTCATCTTCTTCTTCATCCTCTTCTTCATCCTCTCCTTCTTCTTCTTCCTCTTCTTCTTCCTCTTCTTCTTCTTCATCCTCTTCTTCATCCTCTTCTTTTTTCTGCTTCTTCATCCTCTTCTTCTTTTTCTTCTTTTTGTCTTCCTCTTGCAGGTTACTGCTCATGCGCAGATATTTTTAGCAGTAAAAAGATCGGCCAACTTGCCCATAATTGCCGCGAAAATCTTTTTCCAACTTTACCGTTTAAAAAAATCTGCCAAAATACCGAAAAACGGCCGAACAATTAGCCCACTAACGATCCGAAAATCGGCCGATTTTATTTTCAGCTGAAAAATCGGCCGATTTTCGACCCATCTATGGCCTGCATAAGTCTTGCTGCAGAACAGAGCCCAGAGGGTGGAATCATGCTGGAATCTAAATTTGCAGATGAAGATCTTGGGTTGGAGGTGGGCATGCAGCAGATCATTTCCCTCACCTCAACTTTTTCCAAAGATCTACCTTACAAATAGCTTCAGTATATTTCATGCCAGTGTCCTTGCAGCTACGTAAAATAAAGTGATACCATTTTAAAATAGAAATTGTAACGCTACCCCTGCAGGAGTCTCTGGGAGTTTTGGGTCCTCTACTCTTGTCTAGCCCTATGTGGAACTTCACCCTTGCTGACACCACCAGTATACCTAATCTGGTAACACCCAGCAGAGGCACAAAAATTATACACACCACCTTTTAGAAGATAGGCAGACTGTATTGGTAGATTAAAAAAATACAACAAAGCAGATTGGCAAATGAAAATCAATACACATGAACAGCGGTAGTGGTATGATATACTCCCCAGAGGTACTTCTAAAGTCAAATCCCCAATTATGCTGTAACCCTGGGAGCTTAAAAAGTAGCTCCCCGCATGTTAAACCTCAAGCAACCAGAAGGGGAGCTACGAAGAGGCAGCGCAGACTATGTCACCTGAGAGCTCCCAAACAAAGATTCTATGTTTATGCACTTAAACTCTAGTAGAAATCAGTTCTTCCCTCTGGATAGAGTAACACAGGCAAGTCTTTAGAATTAACTGCTGCCGGTTACTTTGGGGCCCTCTAAAACCGTTTGTGTGCAAAGTAATGGAGATGAATTGAATTAAAAGGTAGTGTTCAACAGTTCAGCAGTATATTATACAGAAATATATATATATTCAATATTGAGTTGGCCCACCCTTTGCAGCTATAACAGCTTCAACTCTTCTGGAAAGACTGTCCACAAGGTTTAGGAGGTGTGTCTATGAGAATGTTTGACCATTCTTCCAGAAGTGCATTTCTGAGGTCAGGCACTGATATTGGACAAGAAGGCCTGGCTACTAATCTCTGCTTTAATTCATCTCAAAAGTGTTCTATCAGGCTGAGGGCAGTCAAGTTCCTCCACCCCAAACTCGCTCATCCATGTCTTTATGCACTTTGCTTTGTTCACTGGTGGGCAGTCATGTTGGAACAGGAAGGGGCCTTCCCCAAACTCTTCCCACAAAGTTGGGAGCATGAAATTGTCCAAAATGTCTGACTCCTCAAGAGTTCCCTTCACTGGAACTAAGATACCAAGCTAAACCCCTGAAAAACAACCTCACGCCATAATCCTCCTCCCTCCACCAAACTTTACATTTGGCACACTGCAGTCAGGCAAGTACCATTCTCCTGGCAACAACCAAGCCCAGACACGTCCATCAGATTGCCAGACACAGAAGCATGATTGATCACTCCAGAGAACAGGTTTCCACTACTCTAGAGTCCAGTAGCAGCATGTTTTATTTCACTGCATGTTTTGCATTGCACTTGGTGATGTAAGGTTTGGATGCAGCTGCTCGGCCATGGAAACCCATTCCATGAAGCACTATACACACTATTGTTTTGCTAATCTGAAGGCCACATGAAGTTTGGAGGTCTTTAGCTATTTACTCTGCAGACAGCAACTTCTGCGCACTGTGTACTTCAGCATGCGCTGACCCCACTCTGTCATTTTACATGCCCTACCACTTGGTGGCTGAGTTGCTGTTGTTCCCAGTTGCTTCCACTTTGATACAATGCCAGTAACAGTTGAGCGTGGAATATTTAGTAGCGATGAAATTTCAGGGATAGACTTATTGCACAGGTGGCCACCTATCACGGGACCACGCTTGGAGTCACTGAGCTCCTGAGAGAGCGACCCATTCTTTCACAAATGTTTGTAGAAGCAGTCTGCATGCCTAGGGGCTTGATTTTATACACCTGAGGCAATGGAGGTGATTGGAACACCTGAATCACATGATTTGGAGGGCTGGCCCAATACTTTTGGCAATATAGTGTATATACAGTATATGTATTCCTTTGTGGTGACAGATGCAAAAAGTAGGGCAAGCCCAAAGGTAGCAGCTAGGGCATAAGGCATTAGAAAGTTATGCAGCAAATACAGTCAGATGGGAAGCAAAAACAAAATCAGCACTCTGGAATCCCAACGGACTTATGACCTATGTACTGTATCTCCTGGCAGTGAAGTAGCAAATGATGTAGCAACAGGTGTGATCAGCCCCTGGGGTTTCCAATGAAGAGTACTGTTAATGTTATAGCATAAAAAGACATTTTAGACTGTTATGCACTTAAAACGTTGCGAAAAATGGTTTGGGTACGTCCAGTTCTATATCCCTATGCACAAAGCCAGCCAATTAATGACCAATGTGACCAATTTCTGGTGTGGAGGAACTCAAAAGACCTCAACCCTACTGAACCCCTTTGTGATGAATGGAAGCACTTATTGTGAGTCATGCCTTCCCATCGAACATCAGTGCCTGACCTCAAAACAGCTCTTTTGTCTGAAAGTGAACAAATTCCCACAGAAGCACTTCAAAATATATTTGAAAAGCATTCCTAGAAAAGTGGGGGCTGTTATAGCCAGAAAGCGAGGGAGCTCCATAAACATAGTTTTAAAACTGGATGCCCAAAAAGCTCATATAACACTCACCTGTTTTATAGTCCCAACTTTAAAATTGACCCTACAGCTTCAACCCTCCCTATAACCCCTAAACCTCAACAGTAACCCTCCCTCTAAGCCCAATCTTAACACTAACCTTCCTTATAACCCCAACCTTAACACTAACCCTCCCTCTAACACTAACTTAACACCAACTTGCCCTCTAACCCCAACCTTAATACAAACCTTCCCTATAATCCCAACCCTAATACAAACCTTCCCTATAATCCCAACCTTAATACAAACCTTCCCTATAACCCCAACCAGAGGCGGACTGACAACTCATGGGGCCCCCGGGCAATAGGGGATCATGGGGCTCCTGTGTCCTTGCCCAAACTCAATAAAGCCTATAAAAAAAGGTACCAGGGGCATCTCATGGGGCCCCCTACTGACCCCGGGCCCTCGGGCAGTGCCCGCGTTTCCAAATAGTCAGTCCGCCCCTGACCCCAACCTTAATACAAACCTTCCCTATGATCCCAACCTTAAAGTGTTACTAAACCCAGGACCCTACATTCACTATATCTGGTCTCCCACAGTACACAGAACATGGAAATGCAATTATTTTAGTAAATACAAACTGCTAAATACCTTTTCTCTTCATCAGTTAGAGCAGTCTTGTGACTTCTATCAGTGTCCAGCAGAGCACTGGTTAACGCTTGTAGGAGGAGTTTTCATTCTCCTCTGACTGTCCTATCAGGCTGCATAACCCCTGATCCTCTGTCTGGACAGTGCTGATTGGCCCTGTGCTGATCACATGCACTCTCCCAAGAAAAAAAAAAAACTCTCCATCAATACATACCAAACTGAACATGTGCAGCTTGCCCCCAAGGCTCTATTCTATCAGGAGATGAACTGGGTACAGGAGAAGAAGGGGAGTATCGGAGAAGACTGGATCAAACGTCCTTTTTTACAAAATGTGGAGGATTAACCCCTTAGGTTCCACAGTGAGTATAACAAGCATGCTTTACTATATATGCAGACTGATTTTACTGTAGTGGGTTTAGTAAAACTTGAACACCAACCCTCCCTCTGACTCCAGCCTTAACCCTAACCCTTCCTATAACCCCACCCTTAACGTTAACCTTACAAATAACCCAAACCATAACCCTAACCCTCCATATAACCCCAACCCTCCATATAACCCCAACCCTCCATATAACTCAACCCTTAACATTACCTTAAACCTTAATATTAGCCCTCTCTGATGCAAACATAACCCCTATGTATACTGCTCACCTCTCCTGTACTGGGATCCTCTGTATCCAAAAAAAACCTTTCTTTAGCCAAAATATACCACACCGTAATCTCCTTATCCATTTCTTTTTTCAGGATATTGGTCACCTTTACTTTTAAACTCCCTATAACCCCAACTTTTATACTAATCATTACTCTGACCCCAGCCATAACAGCAACCACCCCTCTAGCCCTAGCCTTCACACTACCCCCCCCCCCCCTTTATAACTCAAATCTTACCACTAACCACCCCTTTAATCTCAACCTTAACACTAACCTTTCTTATAACCCCAGCCTTACCACTGGCCCTGCCTATAGCGCTTACCCTCCATATAACCTCTGCTTTAACACTGACCCTCCCTTTTAACCCCAACCTTAACACTAACCCTCTCTATAACCCCAGCCTTAATAATATCCCTTCCTCTAACCCCAGCCTTAATAATATCCCTTCCTCTAACCCCAGCCTTAATAATAGCCCTTCCTATAACCCCAGCCTTAACAATAGCCCTTCCTCTAACCCCAGCCTTAACAATAGCCCTTCCTCTAACCCCAGCCTTAACAATAGCCCTTCCTCTTACTCCAGCCTTAACAATAGCCCTTCCTCTAACCCCAGCCTTAGCAATAGCCCTTCCTCTAACCCCAGCCTTAATAACATCCCTTCCTATAACCCCAGCCTTAACAATAGCCCTTCCTCTAACCCCAGCCTTAACAATAGCCCTTCCTCTAACTCCAGCCTTAACAATAGCCCTTCCTCTAACCCCAGCCTTAACAATAGCCCTTCCTCTTACTCCAGCCTTAACAATAGCCCTTCCTCTAACCCCAGCCTTAACAATAGCCCTTCCTCTAACCCCAGCCTTAACAATAGCCCTTCCTCTAACCCCAGCCTTAGCAATAGCCCTTCCTCTAACCCCAGCCTTAGCAATAGCCCTTCCTCTAACCCCAGCCTTAGCAATAGCCCTTCCTCTTCCAGCCTTAACAATAGCCCTTCCTCTAACCCCAGCCTTAACAATAGCCCTTCCTCTAACCCCAGCCTTAATAATAGCCCTTCTTCTAACCCCAGCCTTAACAATAGCCCTTCCTATAACCCCAGCCTTAACATTAGTCCTTCCTCTAACCCCAGCCTTAGCAATAGCCCTTCCTCTAACTCCAGCCTTAACAATAGCCCTTCCTCTAACCCCAGCCTTAGCAATAGCCCTTCCTCTAACCCCAGCCTTAGCAATAGCCCTTCCTTAACTCCAGCCTTAACAATAGCCCTTCCTCTAACCCAGCCTTAACAATAGCCCTTCCTCTAACCCCAGCCTTAATAATAGCCCTTCCTCTAACCCCAGCCTTAACTATAGCCCTTCCTATAACCCCAGCCTTAACATTAGCCCTTCCTCTAACCCCAGCCTTAATACTAACCCTACAAATAACCCAAACCATAACCTTAACCCTCCCTACAACTCCAACCTTCAAATTACCCTAAACCTTAACATTAGCCCTCTGAGATGTGATTGTAGTCCTTTTGTATGCTCATCTGTTCTGCACTGGGATCCTGTCAGAGGATGAACTGCAGAAGAAAGGGCACATCTGCCATCATTCAGCATGGCCATGCTAATTTTCGCACAGATGCGCACAGATGTTGTGTAAGGGTACTTGGGCGTGTGTCTGCGAATGCACGCGTGCACGCAATTGTGTGCTGTGGCGAACGCAAAGCATGACAGTTCTTGGCGTTCAGAGGCCTATTTAAAGTCAGCAGTCTAGTGTACAAGTTGCCGGATGATCGTCAGCCCCATTTCCCTGTGCTTCTGTGTTGCATTACTTTTGGATTTCCCGTTGCTGTCTCGACCCCTGGATCTGTCTTGGCTTCTCTCCTGGCTCTGATCCCGGTGTGTTATACGGACTTCGCTTACTGCCTGCTTCCTGTGTATGACCTTGGCTAGATCTTGACCATGTTTCTGCTTCTGTTTCTGACTTACCTACTGTGCATGATCCTGGCTCTGGTTCCTGACTCCACCTCCTGTTCTTCTCATCTGTCAAGACCTGACTTTGCATCTAGAGTTCCACCTGTCCTGCTGGCACCCTGGTATGATCAAGACTTCACCTGTTCATCTATTTTAGAGTGTTTTCTTCCCTGTTGACACCACTGCAGGGTCAAGTCCCTTCCACATGCCCGGTGCGCATGCGTAGAGTGTGTTCACCGTGAGCCCATGTGGCAGGATCTGTGACGCGTGTGTTCCAATGTGTGAAATGCCATCCTGTGTTTACTAATGGCCTCTAGTGCTATAGGCTGCTCGGATTTGGTTTTTGATTGCTCAAAGGATAAAAACCCTACCAGGTGGTGGATGCAAGTTCAAGGCACAACTGGAGCAAGCTATCCTAACCTCCAGAGAGGGAGCCTCCATTAGACCCAGAAGCAGGGGCGGACTGACCATTTGGAAAATGGAGTCAGTTGGGGGAGATGCCCCTGGTACCTTTTTAATAGGCTTTTTTGAGTTTGGGCAAGGACACAGGGGCCCCATGAACTACTATTGCCCGGGGGCCCCATGAATTGTCAGTCCGCCCCTGCCCAGAGGACTGCACCCATCTATCCCATAAAAGGGAACTCTGGAGTATCCTGATAATAACCAACCTACATCTCAGGATCCATCTACCCACAGAGGAGAGGCATTAGATTCCTGCCATCACCCCACGATGACCATTTGATGACATCAGGATAATTTATTAACGCGCATTTACTTGCGCTTTCTGGTGAGTGCGCATTGCTTATATACCTATATGCACATTCACCATCTCCAGGAAGACGCAGGAGTAACGAGCACCTTAGTCACCTGATGAACTTATTTATGATTTATTATGATCAGTGAATCTTGAATTTATTTTATGCTTATCATTATACGCTATGCTATTTATATATATATATATATATATATATTTCTTAGCGCCGCACATTATTTTTATAATATTTTTATACTAAGTCCCTTCCACATGCCTCATCCACCCTACACATCACTCCACAGCCGGCAACCCGTTCTTCTTTGGGTGCAGCACTCCCAGTCTCCATCTTCAGGGGTGCTCTGGACTCAGCCACTTTGGAAGCCGTCTGGTCACTTTGGCATCCGACCAGGTACGTGAAAGATCCTCTCTACCAAAGGTAATCTTTCCTTCGACAAAAGATACTGACACTGGAATCACCTGATTCATTTTTTTCTTGGCCCATTGGTTACTTCAAGAGCCTGTATGGTGCACCAGAGAAGTACACTATTTATTGAAATGCTCATTTTACAAAGTTTATTCAAGTAAGTTAGTCTGCTACTAACTGTATGTGCGCTAGACTAGCACCTTCACATAGGAAGACAAGGGCGCTCCCTGCAGTGTCTGTGGGTTATAAATGAGCCTTTCTGAGTTCTGTTTATTTCTTCATTTCACATCTCTGAAGTTGCTATGGAGCAGTGTTTTCAGGGCTTCGTTTTGCCCAGCTCAGCACTCCCCTATAATTAAATCAGTATGTATTGTGCGTTCCCAGATATTAATTATTGTGTTATTCAGTGTTAAGTCATTAAATCTGGGCTTCTACTTAATGTCTCTCCATTCTTCCTGAGAGCCTTAAGAGCAGCTTAGCTGCAGATGGGTTAATTGAGTGCACAGAATAAGAAGGCAGTGATTTCTCCAGTGGCTTTAGGTGGAACTCCGGACAGATACCCACCACCACATACACACTATGGTGGTTTTCTGGGATTGGTAGGTACACCGTATGGACAAAGGTTTGTAGACACCTGAACATAACACCCAGACTATGTATATTACCAAACTGTGTGGACACCCCTTCAAATGATTAAGTTCAGGTGTTTTCCAGTGAAGAGTACTGTTAGTACTACAGATGGAGTATCCAAACTTTCTAAACAAAGGGCCAGTTTACTGTGGGGGGGGGGGGCAGTTGGAGCAGAAAATGCTCTAGCATCAGTGGGAGTAAATTAGGTCTGATCTTTGGTATTAGCGGAATTATTAGTGCCCCATCATTGGTGCCATTGGTTGGAATAGTGCCCCATCGTTGGTGTCAGTGGGAGGAATAGTGCCCCATCGTTGGTGCCATTGGTAGGAATAGTGCCACATTGTTGGTGTCAGTGGGAGGAATAGTGCCCCATCATTGGTGTCAGTGGGAAGAATAGTACCCAATATTTGGTGTTAGGGAGAGTAATAGTGCCCCATTGTTGGTGTCAGTGGAAGGAATAGTGCCCCAACATTGGTGTCAGTGGTATCAATAATGCCCCACTGATGGTGTTAGTGCAGAAAGTATTGCCCCAATGTTGATGCCAGTGGGAGGAATAGTGTCC